GGCTGGGCCCAGGTCCGCGGTCTGGAGGAGCGGGTCGCCGACCTGAGCGCGCCTGGCTGCCGAGCGAGTCGATGTGCAACCTCCGCGGACTTGGTGTCTGTCGAAGTGAGCTTAGCTTGGCATTGTGACCTTTCTCTCGTCAAGCAGAGGAAAAACAATAGCGAACTCTGCTGTTACTAGTCCCGCGTGTACGTGATGCAGGACTTGTAAGGAAAATCCAAAGGGAGTAGTTTGCTTCTTGTGAAGAGGAGGGAAGAAAGATGCGTTTGTGGGAGAAGGAAGCAAAGCTTAAAGGATGATATACTAGTGCTTGTTATTATTGTGTGTGGAATTGTTAGGTTTGATCCAGTTGTTGACTACGCATAGCAGTCTTTAAATAATGAGGCAGTTCTTCGTGGAATGTAGACCTGCTAGAAAATACAGAAAATTAATAATGGTGACTAAATCTATACGCTTTAAGGTATTCATATAGTAGTTTTTCTTCCCGCGTAGATGGCAAACTATGTACTTCATTCTAAAAACTAATATAGTTGCATGTTTTTCTCTAGGATGGCCGGGCTGGTGTTGTTGCAAATGATGCAGGTGATAGAGTTACTCCAGCTGTTGTTGCCTACTCAGAAAATGAAGAGGTACTATTCTTTTTGTACTTGGAAATAATTTTGAAAGTACATGCATTATAACATGTTGCTCTTTTTCAGGTGGTTGGACTGGCAGCAAAGCAAAGTAGAATAAGAAATATTTCAAATACTGTAATGAAAGTCAAGCAGATCCTTGGCAGAAGGTACGAAATAAAATGATAACTTTATAGTATCTAAAACGCATTTCTTTATTAATCTAAGTAGACTATGAAATAAAACTAGAAACACCACAGCTTGTTATTTTGTTGCTTTTATGACTGAATCATTTCAGAGAATATCCCAGTAGGTTGTTTCTTTTGATTTTTTTGTGGCCTTTTGACCAAGGATGGAATTCACTCCGGTACTTGATTCCTCCTGACAAGTTAGTATTTATAAATACCAACACCCATTTACTTTTGTTTTTTGGGTTTTTTTTTTTTTTTTTTTTTTTGGTACCGGGGATCGAACTCAGGTCCTTGTGCTTGCGAGGCAGGCTCACCCATTTACTTTTGTAATTTGTCTCATTCAGAGACAAATGAAGGAGCTTGGTAGATTTTGTAGAAATTTGAAGACTTTCTTTTATGGTGGTTGAATTTTGCAAAATCTAGTAATGTTGATTTTCTTCCTCAGGGTCCTTTGTGACACTTTCTGGGAACTGACTTTTCCAGTTGCCTTACAAATTTAATCATTAGAGAAGCAGCTTAATTAATGTCTTATGTAAGAATCAGGTTAATCATCTGTTGTAACTTTAATTAGAAAACTTAAGGCTTGTTTCCCCAGACTTCTGTCTCCTCAAATTATAGATTACCATAGTAATTAAGGGTTTTCATTTTCACTGGATAGTAGTACTTGATAAGAGTGATTTTAAATTTTCAAAGTGCTTTCACATCTCTTATTTAAGCCTCTCAACATCCCTGTAAAAATTGATGGCGCAGGGAGTGTCTGTCCCCATTTATAGATGAGAAGATCAAGGTATATGGAAATTGTGGCATTTCTAAATTAAGTAGAGAGTTAAAATTAAGACTACAACTCAGGTCTCTTAACCCTCACCCCTAGCTTCAGTCCTTTCTAATATCTCTACCCCAGGGCTTTGTGTTTTCTAGGCAGTCGCTCTACCACTGAACTACACCCCAGCCCTTCTATTTCATTTGATCGCAAATTTCCTTGTACTGATTTTAGGATTTGGAGATTATATATTTAATATTCATTTCTTTTATACATACAGATATCTTTATTAGTATTTTTACCTCATGGTATTTCTAGAAACTGTAGTATTATGAATAAAATTGAAGTTTTTGTGGTGATAAATATATTCTTATTCTTGTACCCATTGATAAAACAGTACAAAGGATACTAAAAATAATTTGTTTGGTGTCAGATATTTTCAAATCGTGTATTCTAAAAAAAAAAAGGAGTTGTAATAAATTTTGAAGTCAGAATCACCGGATGGCTGTTTGTTTTTAAGTTAAACTTTATTTTGAGATAATTGTAGTTTCACATGCTATTTAAGGAAAAAATAGAGGCATCTAGTTTATTATTGGATTTTCCACTTCCCTTATTGATTGCAAAACTATAGTTTAAAATCACAAGTAGGAAACTGGCATGATTATACTCAAGATATGGAACATTTGTATGAATCTGTCCCCTGGTATCCAATGTGTATTTGTCTTTTATGTTGCTTTTTGGGGGCAGATGGCTAGAGTAATGATGCAGCTATCTTCTGCCTTATGCTCAAAGCTTTGTATTAGCAGAATGGCTTAAGCTTATTTTTCTGGCTCTGAAAATGAATATTTAGCAAAGAAGCACAAGAATGGCAGTTGGGTAAGTAACAGCCACAGCATGATATCTACTATAGGTCCTAGAGTTAGTTTCCTTGTGGTCCAGGTTATTTTCCTGTTCACCTGTCTACTCACCAGACAGTACTGGTTTCCACAGACACATAGTTGTACCAGTTGTCAGCCTTGCAAGTGTTTGGCCCTTTGTGGAGGAGCCTGTCCTTTTGTTACCAAGCCATTGAACCATTGATCCAGTGCCCACCTTGGGTGAACTCCCGAAGGTGTGCTTTCTCAGTCTCCACCTTATGCCTATTTATGAACTACTCTCAGGTAGCACTGCTTAACTTGCTGCCAAAATGATCCTTACACCCTTCCTGTAACTCTCATTCCCTGTGGCTTTCCAGCCAGAAATGCGGTCTTTGGACCTGACTTCTCAGCAATTAGCCATGAGAGGGAAGAATCACCTGGCTCCTCGGAATACATTGAGAGCGCACAGAGCTTCCCCACACCTTCACATTTTCACCTTGCTGCCCAGGCGCTTGCTTCAGTAGCCTTTCCAGCCCACTATGGCCACTGCCAATAGCAGTGCGGGCATCCGGTGGTCCAGACAGGAGACACGAACTCTTCTCTCCATACTAGGCGAGGCAGAGTATATTCAACGCCTCCAGACCGTGCATCACAATGCAGATGTCTATCAGGCTGTATCTAAGCGAATGCAACAAGAAGGCTTCCGCCGCACTGAACGTCAGTGCCGCTCCAAATTTAAAGTTCTGAAGGCACTGTATTTAAAGGCTTATGTTGCTCATGCCACAAGTATGGGTGACCCACCACACTGTCCGTTTTATGATACGCTGGATCAGCTTCTTCGAAATCAAATAGTGACTGACCCAGACAACTTAATGGAGGCTGCTGCTTGGACCAAGCAATGTGATCAGAACTTAGTGGCCTCTGGCACACCAGAGGAAGAGGAAACTAGCATTCTGAAAGCGAAAAGGACACAGGCTGCTGATGATCAGCCTATCTTGAAAACAGTTAAGGAGTCAGATGAGGATTGTCAGCTGAAAATCAGTGACCGGATTCGAGAAACCAGTGACCTCGAGGACTCCTGGGATGAATCCTCAGGTGCAGGTAATTTCTGAGCATGTGCAGGATTGGGGTCTCAGGATCTCTTGATTCTAAACAACAGTCAACATTCGGAAAGTGCCCTCTTCCGTGCAGCCCATTTCTGTCCTCCCCACCTTTTTTTCAAGCCCAATAGTAAATGGCTCTGGGTTTAAAAAGCTATAAACCTATGTATATAAGGTGTTAGAACTTTTGAAATCTAGAAGACATACCCTAGAAATAAAGTAGTTTTGGTACTGAGTAGTTAGGAATTTATGGGAAAAGAGTGGGTTGGATAGCTACATGGAATGGGGTTCTGGAAAACAAGGGGAAGTTTTGGAAGAAAGGTTACAATAAGCAAAATGTTCAGAGTACAGAACGAATTTTTTCAAACCCCCTGTGGAAAGATACCTTGCCAAGAACAGCCCTAGTTTTGTGATTCATTTCTGCTTCTGGCTCTTTGTATTCCCTTGGCAGGAATGTCCTTTCTGCAACATTGTTGCTTTGTTTTTCAGGGTGCTCTCAAGGGACCCCCAGCTACAGCCGCTTCCACAACCTTTTCAGAGGTGCAGTTGCTCCCTGTCAGAGCAGCCCCATGGCCAGACTGGGCATGTCTGGTGAGACCAGTCCTTCCACCAGCACCAGCCAAAATCCTTCTGGTGGAGCCTCCACACTGCAGCCCCCAGTGCTCTCTTCCAGACTCGGTTTTGTCTCTGGTGGTGATAGGCCTATGGCCAGTGAGCCCCCACCAAGGTGGGCAAGGCGAAGAAGGCGGTCAGTGGCCAGGACTATTGCCGCTGAATTGGCAGAAAACAGGAGATTGGCAAGAGAACTTTCAAAGCGGGAGGAAGAAAAACTGGACAGGCTAATTGCTATTGGTGAGGAGGCCAGTGCCCAGCAAGACACTGCCAATGAGCTGCGCAGGGATGCTGTCATGGCAGTCAGACGCTTGGCAACTGCAGTGGAAGAGGCAACTGGTGCTTTTCAGCTAGGGCTTGAAAAATTGCTTCAGAGGCTGATTTCAAATACCAAAAGCTAAGAACTGATTACAGAAGGATGCATTGCCTAAACTGGTAGAAGTCTACTTCCAGCATTTGCCTTCTGGTACCCTAACTCTCTTCTGTGTCCTCAGAAGAGAGGAGATGAGTCATTAATATACAGAGTGTTAGGAGTTTGTGAGTTCCTTTTCCCAGGACCCTCCACTAATTGAAAGATCTTCCCAAAATGTGAAGGGTGGCCTAATAGACAGCAGATGGAACCAAGTACAAGAGCCGCTTTGTCCTGGCTTACCGCTGATAAGAAGCAGTCTCCTTTACCTCTCTTATAAAAGTTTCTTCATCTGTAAAATGGGGGACAGATAATAACTAACTCTTGCCCTGCCTACCTCACAGGGTTGTTGTGAGGGTCAAACGGCAAATGTGAAAGTTTAAAAGAACTATACATATTTTAAGTTATTAATGCACATGACCTTGGCTGAGACAAGGCTAGGTAGGGTGAGCACATTAGTTCACAAGACATAGAAGTTCAGTTGTATACCATGACCTCATTCCTTGAATTTTTGGGGTGTTGGGTGACCAGGGATCAAACTCAGGACCTTGCGCTTGCAAGGCAGGTGGCAGAGCCACAGCTAAATCCCCACCCCTACTTGAATCTTTACTAGCTTAATTTGACTGCTTCATAGAGTTTCAGATCTTAATTTTTCAAATCCCTCTGACTCATTAGCCTACTATAGGTACAACATGTATTGCACCTTTATCTCAGTTGCACTGCCATGACTCTGACAGGTCTATTAGTAAGCACTCATAATAATCAGATGAGCATTTTCTCCTTCATTTTATTTTACTAGTTCTTATCTCCTGTCAAGTATGTAATTAAGAACTGACAGGTAACTACAATTAGTATGTTTGGTTCGTATTGATAACTTTTGATATGAAATACTGGCTGTTTCATAAGATAGTAAATGTAAGTAAATTCTTTGCATTTTATATTACTTGGGTCTCTTTTTATGCTTCTGCTATATCTTCAAATTGTTGCCGTTTGAATGTTGTGGAAGCAATTTGGATTGTATCAGTTTACAATCTGCTTTTAATTTCATTCTTTTCTCTAGCTGGTATTGGTTTTGGTTTTGATGGTTGTTTTGGTCTAGTATGTTAAAGAGGGCAAGCCTTAAAAAACTTTCCAAGGTCACTTTTCCTCAGATGGTGTATACCAAAAAAAAAGTTTGTCTAGGTAACAACATATGGAAGAAGAGATGAACTTTGTTTTCCCTTTAGCTCTGAGAACACTGGAGGTTGGTATAAATGAAGACCACCTGTGATAAACTTTTAAGCACAAACCTTCAGCAGATAATATCCTCCACCTCAACACACATTTTTTGGGAGAGATGAAGCCACATTTCCAGTTAACTTATATATTACTGGCCATCACTAAACTAACTTAAAGCTTTTAGTGGTTTTCTTAGTACTTTCAGAAATCTTTGGGATTTAAAAGGAATATTTTCAGGAAATTCAAATAGTGTTGGGGATTTAAAACGTTTTCCTGCAGTCAAGACACTGGGGGAATTACAGCAGGTGTGTTGGGAGGGGTTATGTTTTATGTATCCCAGGCTGGATGCCTACCTAAATGCTGGAAATACACATAGGTGAAGAAGTGTCAGAACCACAGTGGGCCTACCACGAACACCACAGGTGGCAAGCAAGCCAGCCACCAGGGTGAATGTAGGCTGGGCATGTAGTGCAGTGGAGGTGGTGCACTGGGATCGATCTGGTTAAAAAAGACAATGAAATTTCAGTTGTAACATTTTCAGTCACAGCAGCATATTAGTATATTTTGGAAATTCTGGTAGCAGTTGTGTTTTAAGGGAGCCTTCTACAGTATTAATGTTGATATGCCTATGAACTTTTAAACATCAGGCCAGACATAAAGACTCTTTGCTGTCAAGAAATACATGCCAAGGTATTGAAAGACACATAAACACATTGTAATTATTTTAGGCCATTACATGGAAGGATTTTTGTCAGTTTTAACTGGAAATCACTAATACAGATTGAATAGATTTTCTGGGAAAACAGGCAAGTACTTGAGAATTAGACCTGTACTGTGTAAATCTAATGGCAGGACAGTGCATAGCAAGGATTTATTTAAAATATGAAAAGTGCTGAAGAGCAGAAGTAGAGTTTGGAGGTACTGTTGTGAAAATCTAATGGCTGAAGTGCTGCAGTGTAGGAATAAAACTCAGAGAAAGGGTCCTAATGAAATAAACAAAAATAAGCTAAGAATATCAAGGGGAGAAAGATTGCAGTAGGAGGAGAGCATGTGCTGGGAAGTAAGCAGAGTCCTACCTGAGCTCCCAAGTCCAGTCCCACCAACTGGACAGCCTCACAAACTTTTCACCGCTGCCTGGCTCAGGTTGCTCCCCTACATGGGACCAAGTCATTGTCCCACCTACCTCACAGGGGTGTTGTGAGGAACCATAAGCAGATGAATGCAAAGCATTGTTAGACACTGACGTGTAGGCACTGAAATGTAACAGGATTGGGGAAAGACCCTATGTGTTGACTATCATAGGTGTACAGGAGGAAGAGAAAATGGCATTCTGGGAACACTGATGCAATGGTAGGATTAATGCTATCTCCTGAAGACTGTGATGTGAATGCGGTGCTTGTGTGTATCAGCCTCCCACTATCTTTGTGTTTCTGTTCAGTAATTTAATCCTGCTATGGACAAATAAAAGTTTTTACTTCTATGTAATTGTGGGTTTGTCCACTACTTTCTGGTGATATCTGTGCTACTTTGTCACCTCCATTCTCTGCTTTCTCCTTCCCTGGTTTTGAGTCTCCACTGTTGCCATGTATGGCCTTAAGAGCTGTGTGTGCTTTCTGTCCTCGAAAGAGAGAGTCCCTTTTTGAATGGCAGTTGAGAAGTAGTTTTCCATTTCTAAAGAGTTCTGTGAATCCCATAAAATGTCTTAAAAGTTAACCCTTCTGAGTAGTAGACGACTCACACAAAACAATAAATTGTCCTGGTTACCTTAAATTCTGTCCTAAAGAAAACAACCTGTAATTGTCATGTTTAAAATACAGACACGCTTCCATCTTTCTTTTCCTAATCTTAAAATACCTGAGATGTAGTCTAGGGAGGAACAAGACATTTAAGGGGGAAAATGCTTAACTTCTGTAATGAACACCTAGATATCAGCCTGTCTTGCCATTAATTAGCTGTGTTTTAATTGCTATTTTAGGTGATGGAAGAGTAAAAAGAACCTGAAAGTGTTGCACAATTCTAAGCCTAGTTCATTTTGTCTTCCTTTTATTTACAGATTAAGATCTTCAAGATGTTCTGTATCCCTTCCACAATTAGCCACTTAATTTTCATCTGTCATTAAACACTTAAAGCTGGTTTCTATATAGAGTAGCCACAGCTCTTTGGAAGCTTCTAGGAAGGATACGAGTCCATTTCATCTATATTTCTAGGTAATATTAAGCCAAGGATCAGAGGTTCTTATCCCTTCAAGAGTAGAAATACAATGGTCATTTACAGTCTTAGTGGGAGGCAGTGTGTTAAAGTATAAATAAGAGAAAAGTATAAACAAAGTTGTAAATAATACCTGGCCCCTTAGTGTGAATTGTTGCCCCTCTCAACTTAATCTTTAAAATAATACCCACCAAACACCCCATTTAGGTGTGGGTGAGGATCAAATAGGTGAAATGTTCTGTAGTATGTGTGAATTGATATCACTGTCTTAAGCAGCACAGGGCCCATTGCTTTAACTTTTTTCTTGTCATATTTTTTAGTACTTAGTATGGGACATTGTAGATCTGTCTATACTTTATATAGATTCTGTAGTACTCTGCACTATATACAACGCTCATACTTGTGCTCAATCTTCTGCTTGTGGATGCTGATTCTGTTTAGAAATCAAGAAACAGAGGTGGTAGTGAGGTCTGCCCTCCGTTTGCAGTCTTAACCTTTTGTCCTTTCCATCTTAGTGGTTGGGTCTTCAGAGTCATAAGGTGAAAGTGTGACAAAATCAGTGATACGATGAAAAGTCACGTATAGCATGGTCAGAACAAAGTATTTTCAAATGTGAAGGTCAACACTTTAGGAGAATCACTATAATGATCATAAATATTCATTGAATTTTAATTTCTATAATATTTGAAGACTGAGCAGTCTGAGAATTTTGTTTATATTTTAATATCTGTTGACAATGAAAAGTATAGTCTTTAAACTTTATATAACTGATACCAATTTTAATACCTAGCTATCTTTATGTCTTTATGAACAGCTCTGATGACCCACAAGTTCAGAAATACATCATGGAAAGTAAATGTTTAGTGAGTATGATTCTGTTACTGCTTCCTTGTTATACAAAGTGAATGACAAAGGTCGTGACAGGTAATGTTGATTTTAAACTTTGCATTTTTATTAAAATTATTCCTTATTTAGCCCAATTATTTCTTTTATAGGTCGTTGAAAAAAATGGGAAATTACGATATGAAATAGATACTGGAGAAGAAACAAAATTTGTTAATCCAGAAGATGTTGCCAGACTGATATTTAGTAAAATGAAAGGTATTGAGCAAAAGAGCAGTTAACTTTAAGCAATATTTTAAAGGTTGGCCATAACAATGTAGGGTTAATTTTGTATCTTGGGAGAACTGACTGAGCAAATTAGCAGTAAGGAGAGCTAAACTATATACCTGGTTTGGCCACTTTTTGGCCTTGTGACTTCACTTTGTATGACTTGGTTTCCATGACTGTGATTTCCCTTAAGTACTGGTTGAGTCTCCCTCGTCTGAAATGCTTGTGATCAGAAATACTTTAAATTTCAGGGTTTTTAAATTTGGATTTAGGTATTTTTATATAGATTTTGCTGGTTCATCCCTAATCCAAAACTCTGAAATACTCCAAAATCTAAACCTTTTTGAGCATTGATTTGGACCATTTTAGAATTCAGATTTTCAGATTAGATGTGTTCCACCTGTAACATAAGTGGATTGGGCCAGATTAACACTTTGAAAAATTTTTGAGATTTAGCAGCCAGATATATATATATATATATGGCAAATAGTGAGTATCTCTTCAGGATTAACAGTAAACTCTCAACTGTAATTTAGCCAGATTAATTGAATTTGGTTTTATCACCACTTTAGAAAAAGTGCAGTGAATTGAGAAGTGTTCTGTGGAACAATTTGAGAAATTCTGAAGTAGTTTATTTCCAGGGCTCATTTCTGCTCTGGGGTTGTTAGGAATCTGTGAGATGGAAGGCAGCCCTTTAATATGCTGAGCTAACGTGATGTGTCTCCACATTGGCTCACCATAAACTTGTTTTCTGGCAGCTAATCTAAAATGAAGATGGTTGAAACTGAGACCTGTTGTTCTTTGAACAGTTCCTAGTTCTAAGTCCACAGCTCTTACCCTAACCATCATGAAGTACAAGAAGTATGGCGTGATTTAGGAATGCAAGAGAAGAAATTGGTAGAGTGGGGAAATAAAGTGAATTGAAACATTTGTTTCATGAGATCTTGGGTGTAAATTGAGAAACATCAGAAAGCATTGCTTGACGTTTTTTCATCTATAGGATTTTTATATTTTTGCTAGGCATGGTGGCGTATGTTCATAATCCCAAAACTTGAGAGAGTGAGGCAGGCAGATTGCCAGTAGTTTGAGGCCAGCCTGGGTTATGTAGTGAGTTCAAGTCAGACTGAACTACACAGGAAGACCTTGTCTCAAAAAACAAAACAAAAAATGTATTTTTATATTTTTAATGTACAGAAACTGCACATTCTGTCTTGGGCTCAGATGCAAATGATGTGGTTATTACTGTTCCATTTGATTTTGGAGAAAAGCAGAAAAAGGCTCTTGGGTGAGTATAATATGGAGTTTATCTTGTTTAAAAGAAATGAAAATTTCACAATATCAGTATATTTCACAATATCACAAAAATTATATTTGAAAATACTTTAGGATAATAAAATTGTATTGTAAATACCTTAGTATGGTGATAGTCATTATTTCCTTTTATGAAATGCCAAGAAAATATAAGATTAGTTATGTATTACCCTCTTTGCTGTTTTCATGGGAAATTTTCATAGTTAGCAGTTAAACTGATATTTACAAATCATGTTTCATGTATTTAAGGTTTATGCGGGAATTATATAAGAATACGCAATCATAGAAAATATTTATTTCTTCATCTTAGATCAATAATATCTAAAACAAAAAGTGACATTGTTTTTACTGGTGATCGGGCATACACACACACACACACACACACACACACACTTTTTTTTTTTGGTACTGGGGATCAAACTCAGACCCTAGTACTTGTGAGGCAGGCAGCAGGACCACTGAGCCAAATCCCCAGCCCAGGCATATGTAATTATTGAACTTATGTAATTATTAAAGCATGCCTTTGCTTTGCTAGATAGGGTTCCGTTTGGGATTTTGGCGATCACTGAAGTAACATCTTTTTTCTTTTTTCTTTATTTTTTTCTTGTTTTACCAGTTATGAAGCTACATTCCCAGCCCTTTATTTTTTATTTTGAGATAAGTTCTCACTAAGTTGCTAAACTGCTCAGACTAGGTTCAAGTTTGTGACCTTCCTGGCTCAACCTCCTACAGTACTAGGATTATAGTTGTGTGCCACCATACCTTACTTCTGAGAGAGAATTATCATAATTTAAAAATTATGACCCTAGATTAGAGAAATTGCAAAATTTCTAAAATGTTTCCTAAATTTATCTTATTCTCTTCATGGACATTTATTGATTGTCTTTACTAATTAAGCCACTTTGTATTCAGAGTTGAGTGGAAGAGTTCAGAGATAAAATATGCTTTTGATTTCACAGAATTAGTGTTTTGAATGGGAAATTCTGGGTAAGGAGGGGAGGGCATCCCTCCTAGATTTTAAGGGCCCAAAAAGAAAGACACACACACACACACACACACACACACACACACACACACACAC